CGTGACAGACACTGAGACAGGTCTGCTAAAGAGGCATGGGTACCTATGCCTACTCATACAAAAAACGCCCTAAATGCCAAATTACCTTAAGAGTGACAAATAAGTTGAGAACTGATAATCGGGATAATTAGGATTTTTAAGGTATTAGTTTCGATACCTTTCTGTAGACGTAACACTTACCCTTGCGCTCAATTACCAGGAAATTGTGATCGAAATTTTCTTTGTTTTAATCTAAACTTTGAGACTATTTCTGGGTTGTTTTCTATGACCTCGGGAGCCTTCGTTGGGGAGTGTCTAGTTTTGTCCCATTTTGTCAATGGATCATATCACGGGGACCACCGCGACATTTTCCCGCTATTTTGCCACCTCGATGTTAGACTAAGAGTAATCTTCAAATCGTTTTTTTTTAAATATATATCTAGATTAAATTTTGCGCAAGATATTCTTTTTATTCTTTTCTCTTATAGTAAGATTACTGCTTTGGAAAGGTAGTATCAATATACGTGGATACGAACCGCTTGTCTGACCACTTCTATTGATGCACTGTTGACTTTTCGTTACGCTTTGGATTTCGAGTTTTTTATCCCAACCGGATGGAGCGATTGCATCATCTGATAACAACCAGATGAACTTCAAAATAAAGCAAGACTGCAAAAGACTGCCGCAACTGAYTCCTGAWTAACGCTGAAATATAAGTTTTCCCMCGAGAACGGAAGACTAAAATCGTTAAAATTGTGCACTCAATATATTGTTTTACTGTTTGGTAGCAAAGGGGGCAGAAACTTAGTGAATGCATCTTGACCACAATAAGAAATTCTGTTTGTGAATAAGTGCATTAGCGGGAATTTTAGCCATAACATCGTCTCAGTTGACTTGAATCCAAACACAATGATGTTGTAGATTAAAGTTAGATCACTAAAACGATTGTTGAATGTGCGATGTTGAAGTTACATTCTTTACACAAGTACATATTTCAAAARTATTTTAAATGGAATATCAACCGGCATCTTCGGTAAAAACATGAAAAAATGGCATACATTTGTGGGAAATCTCGTTTGGAATATTCATGAAATTTGCCGAATTCATCCTTGACCAGACATCTTACATTACTTTCCTTTTATTCCTATCAGCAGGAACTATTTTATTTGCATTCAAAACATTCAATCATACGACGGGATTATTTGAGTCAAACTTAGTGTCTATCAAAACATCGAAGTTAAAATATAGTCTTTAAGTGGATTCATTGTCGATTTGAATTTTTCAAGTCCAAACGCATGTTTTTTTATCACCAGGGAACAGTGGGTTATGCATTAATGGTAGCGCAGATGTTTTGGTGTGATGAACATTTTGGCATATTCATGACACGAAGTTTTTAGCAAGACCGATAAACGTCTTCAAAAACCATTAGCTAGGAATCATCAGTGTTGGTGAAAAGATTTTAATACAATTTATTTGAATAYATAGATGAATCAAATCATAGGAAGTTGAAATAATAAACTTAACTACAGTAAACAGCACTGATGATTAAAGTAGGGATTATTTACCTCACAAATAAATGCAATAGTGTTTTCTCAATAAAGATGTACAATGTTAAATTCAAACAGTGAATGTGAACTGAGTTTATCCTAATTTGCATAGATTGGTTCGCCTAAATTCAATGTAGTACAGTACAAAAAAATTCATTTTCTTACRAAATAATACTCTTCTTTAATCTTCTTCCTTCCTTTGCATGTTTCTCCGTTTCTATTTTTCATTTCTTGCGGTCAAGGCGGTGGCGAGTTCGTCTCTAAGATCGTGCAATTGAATTTCCGAACGGAGCTTTGACACCCATTTCTTGTGCTTCTTGCATCAAAGAACAAAGACTACAACAGCAAACCATGGCCAAATCGTGTACAAAACTCCCTTGAATGCCTTTTTGGTCGCGAACCTTGCCTCGAATCTGTGTGGCGAACCATATATTGGCCAGTGGTACAAAAGTCGCTATGCCACACATCAAACAGTCGTCGCCAACAGTTTCTGCAGTCTTACCAAAGGTATAACACGGAGCGCAGAACGTCGTCAGACACAAGGGAACGTCATTGAAACAGCCACAAAGTCCATTACTCCAATCTGACATTTTCGCTTGGAAATTCAGGAAAAAAATACCTCCGTTCTTTATCAAAATATCGAAGCAACGACGCTTGTGTCACTGACTAGCCGAATCAAACCCGACCCTGTTTAAGTCAGTCAAGGGAACGCCCACAAACCACACCGTGCCGATCATGTGATACAATCTCATTGGTTTAGAAAAATGGTCGTGTCTTGAAAGATGTAGATACTTATGAAAAATATTCATTCRGTCAGATGAAAGGACAATCAAGCTTCTTTCTGGTCTGTCACACTTCGATCCCTGATATTTTGCGCACGGTTAAAATTGCAGCAGTCTTTTCTCTGATTATGCAAATTTATACACATTAATATTCTTGTAGCTTAAAACTGTAATTTTTTATTAGAGTAATCAGTAGAGTWATCAAATAATTTGCATACCAGCATGAAGCGAGCAGAATTCATAAAAGTTTGAAAACTTTCGAAAGTTGGAGCAAACGAATTTATTAATCTTCCGAAGCGAAATACCGGCACTTTCGCCATTTTTTTAGATTGATYGTCTTTTATTGCTATTTAGACTCGTATTCTAATACATTAGTAATTAGTAAAGATATATTATAGGAAATATAGTTGTACAAATTTCTTATGTAACAATATAGAGCCTGAGGGCTAAGTTATCCTCAAATCCAAATCCATTCTTTTCGAGCATGGGCAAATAAATATTATTGTGTCGTATTTGAGAGCTTATAGAGAGCTGAAAAGCTTTAAGTGCGAAAACAGATCGTTTTTCTTTGAAATTCAGAGAATGAAGGTTGTTTTTCCTTCCGATATGTAAATAACAGCACTCAAGCTGATTGACAACATTGTGCTATGACTCAATGAGTCGTAACATGTTGCCATTCCTTTCAGCAGATATCAGGTTGTTTGTTAAGTTCAAAAGTGAAACCTTTCGTTTCTTTCTCGAACCTCTATTCGTACCTTTTCATRTAGTCTTTCTTTTCCGCTTTCTATTGTATTATTTTCCTGTTATCATCAGCAGCAGCATCAATAATTTTCACATTATTATTCACCGTACATTTCTATTTTTGACTATGACAAAGACCCGAAACTTGCGACCCGAAAATGTGGTCTGGACAAGCCATTAATGTGCACCTAATCCCCGATACAATACTTTCAGTATTGATTCTACATAAAGTGAATAGTTGAATGGTGAAACATGTCTTCATGTGAATGTTGCGTCTTTAAGATATGAAGGTTTATACTTCCATTACATTGCTGTAACGTCACCCCAGGCTTTTGAGTGTATTTTTTTWAAATTTTTAATACTAAACACTAGTCATTATGAGACATCAGATTTAAAATAAACATTGTGGAAAGTATAAACCTTCATAACTTGAAGATGTAACATTCAAATGAAGAAATATTTCACTATTCAACTATTCAAATTTTTTTGTCAGTCTATCCCAGCATGATGAATGAAGAGTAAAGATATTTTCAGTGTTCCAGCAGTAATCCTAAAACTCTGCAGATTGCAATACATGTAATTGCTATTTGTATTTTCGTTTTCTCCACTTGTGTCTCACTGTCATCTATGACTTCATGTCACTGGTTTATCTATCTAGTATCTACATTTGTCTATTAGTTTTAATAATTTATTAGTTTGAAAAAGCGCTGTATGAATAAAGGCGAGGACAGACGGCGCAATATTGCACGCAACAAATTTGAATCGGGGTGACATACGTTGCAACAAAATCACGCAACATCGCTTGTGCCACCCCGATATGCTAAAATATGTGGTCAGCGGTTATAAATTTAGTGCAAGCTGATTTTCAAACTTTCAAAATGTTTCACGCAATGTTGCAGCCCTGTTTACACGAAGAAATTTGTTGCGCGCAATGTTGCAAGAGTAGAGCGCGATTCAACTTCAGATTCAACTTCAATTTCAGGCGTAGACACACGCTGCGACAGCCCTGTTGCGTGCA